ATTATTAAATAAATGAAATTTATTTCTTTCTATATCTCTTTTTTAATAAATAGTCTTAATTAGGAATATACCATTTGTTATATTTATTACTAAAGTTATTTTTCTTTTAGAATTATTGATAGTTATGCTATAAAGAAATTGTGTTTTATAATTAATTATATTTTTGTAATAAATTTAATCCTTCATTTATAAAATATGAAATCAATAACAAATAAATAAATGTTAATGATTGGTGATACATTGCCAATTCTTTTTTAAAAACCATCCAATAGTCAAACAGTAACCTTAACATTACAAAATTCCTAAACTTATCAAAAATCTCAACTTTTTTCACTGAATTTAGTTGTGTAATTTATGGTACATAAATATTTATAAGAATATTTTCTGATTACTCTGATTACTTTGATCATTCAATTTACCACCAAAAAGTTGTTTTATTTATCCATATCATGCTTGATATTAAGAAAGACTTTTGAGGTTTGATTCTTTTTCAATTTTTATTGATTAGTAAAAATGAAAGTTTTCACTTAAGAAGAGTCAAAATTGAAAGATCTTTTTTGTGGATGAACTAAAAGATACTAGAATATAGAACTTTATGAATTTCTTTATAATATAATATATTTATTGCAAAACGACAATATTTCATTTCAAGGGAATTTCAAAAGAAAACATAAACTTACTTTTTAAAAAATAAAATTAAAAAATTTCATATTATCGAATTAAGTAAATTAGTATACTTAAATTTTTAATACCATAAACTATATATATTAAAATAGATTTACTTGTTTTAAAACCATTATTGTCATAAGACAGTTTCATATTCTAATAAAAAATTCCCTATTTTTAATTTAGTTCTAGATAACTCTAAAATAACATTTTGGTACATTTATTCTTTTTATTAAATCAAAAAGATAAGATGTTTTCTTTTAAATTTATTTTTAGTAAGTTTGATATAATTAAAAAACATTCCTTTCTATTGAGTTTCAATAAAATATAATTAAAAGAATAGTAATATAACTTTGTTAGATATTTATTTATTAAACTCATTAAACTTTGTACCTTCATTAAAGTTCATTAATAAGGAATGAATAGTTAATAAAAACAAAAATTAAAATAAAGAATATTTAAAAGAATTACCATCATATAATAACGAGAATTGTAAAATTAAATAAAATAAATTTGTTATTAGTTTTTACTCTTGAAAAAGTTATTATTTAAAGTTCTTCTTCTTCATATTTTGGAGCAACATATGGTTCTTTTACTCTATCTTTAAAAGAAGGGAAATCCTTTAATGTTTCAATTCTTCCTGCTCTTCCAATCAAACTGTTTTTAGCAAATGAAACTACTTCTTCAGCATCAAATCCTCCAACAAATCGAATTAATCTTCCTCGTTGTGGGATATAAATAAGAGCAGTTGGTGTATCAAAGAAAACATTTAATTTATTACAAAGGTCATTTTGTTCAGAACAAGTGAATGATAATGTATGCATTTTACCATCAAGCCCTTTACTAACTTGATCAATCAAATCATTGTTTTCTTCTTCTCCAAAGATTAATAAAAGACATGCCTTTCCATTACATTGTTTCTTAAACATTTCGTCATTTAAAACATGAACATTAACATATGGAATATCATCTTCTTTTGGTTTCTCTGGTTGTTCATTTCCAGAACTTGCGTTAACACCAGCCAAATCACTTAAATAAGATAACATACTATTTAAATCCATTTTACCTTCATATTTTTTAATTTCTCCTTTATGTTGAATAAGTATTGTTGGGAATTGTTCAACTCCAAACTTCTTTGTTTGTTCATTATCTTTATTACAATCATAAAATTTAAAAACTCCATTAAGATGCATAGCAAGTGCTTTATATAATAAAGTTCTTTTTGGTTTGTCACTAAACAAAATAACACTATTTTCATCTTTATTTAATTCTGTTGGAATTGTTTCAATCCAATCAGGAATCATTGAATACATTGTACCACTAATAGCCCTAGCTTCTCTTGGTCCATTATAGTCTCGTGGTGTTCTGCGTTGATGTCCTTGTTGAGCATCAAATAATTTAACTGTTGGGAATCCTTGAACCCCATAACTTCCACAAATATCTCTGTGTTCTTCACAATCAACAGCAGCAAAAATTGTTTTTCCATTGATTTCCTTAGCAGCAGAAGCAAACTCTGGTGCAAGGTGTTTACAATGACCACACCACGGGGCATATAACATTAAAATTGTTGCAGAAGAAGAACTTTCTAATGCTTTAATTTCTAACATATTTTGAGGCATATAAATTGGAGCATCTCCAAAAAAGTGTGCATTAGTAAGAGCAAGAAGAGTTAAGAATAAAGAAAGCATAATTGAAAGTTATAGTTTAAGAGATGTTAAGTATATTTATGCAGATGAAATCATGACGTGGAAATGATCTAATCAGAAGATAAATTCTGATATTCTATTTTTGTTTTTCTTTTTTTATAAGTTAATGTTATATATATCAATTAAAAAAAATAACACATTTTCAAGGTATTTTTGAAAAGAGAGTGAAGGAGATTTTTGTGAAACAGTTAAGAAAATAGAATTATCTATAATTATTTTTGAAGAAAATTCATAAGATTAGACTTTTCTAGAGAAATGAATAACTAATGAAGAATATTTATAAAAATCTTTCTCTTAATTCAAAACGTTGTAAAAGCAGTTTTACTTAAAAATATTTTATGTTTTTATATTCGAAATAAATTTGAAAAGAGTATATGGTTTAGATATTATTTATTATCAATTAAAGATTCCATAGACCCCTCTTTATTGAAATACACACAATATCTGTATTTGTTCCTGTAATAAATGGAAAGTATCGAATAGAAACTAATGAGAATAATACAAACACAGACTCTTTCTCATTAACAACTACACCAACAGTATCATCTACACCACCAACTAATGTCTACTACTAATAGTTTGATAAAATCAAAAATATTGTTCCTTTATCAAAACCATTTCACTCATAAAAGAATTGAAAGTATGACCAAAAAGTATTTGCAATAAAAAAGTATCAGAACTTGAATTAACAAAAGCAATTAAATTTCTACAAATCTAATATCTAGAAGTATATGAAGACCTTTCACTTTCAACACTTCAATATTGGATACAACACAAGAATTATTAACACTTAACCAGTGGAATAGAAGATCATAAACAATTACCTATATTTCTATTTGTTAGTCTTTATTTTGTAATAAAAACTAGTTTTTATTGTTATTTCAGAAATATCCTAAAAAAGAATCATTGTTTATTTTTCTTTTTCAACAAAAAGAAAACAAAGAGAAGATGAGCATAACGTTTTTAAATTTAATGACAAAAATCGTTGGGTATCTATTATGGTAGAACAAAATCAAAATCATTGAATGTTATTAATTATAATAAATTATTGATTTATTAAACAAATCATAAATAATTTCTGTTTAATATCATTGCACTAATTTAACCTTTTTTAGACCTTTTAGAATAAATAAGATTAATGTTATTTGGTAAAGATAATATTTTTTTTAGAGTTATATAATGGATGTAAATATTTTACTTGTTATTTCTGAGATAATTATTATCAATGTCTGACAAATTATTAATTAGAATTGTAAGAAACAATCATCAAGAAAATTATTTTTAGAAGGACTTCTTAATAAAATATCTTCATCTTCTATCATTTCATTAATTATTATTTTATTTTAATTGAATTTATTATTTTATTTAAAAATAGTATGAATTGTTAATATAAAATATTTTACTAGTAATACTCACAAACATTTTAACTAAAAATATAAAGTCAAATGTTTATATCTTCTCATTTTATCATTATTTAAAGTTAAATCCTTCATTTTTTCTAATATTTGGTACTCTTGTTAAATTCATATCAACTTTATTAAATTTTTTTGATTCAAAGAATGAATTATTTCTTCAATTTAAACAAACTTCATTAACTTCACTTTTTGAAAAGACATCAGATCTTACTAATACAATTTTATGAAACAAAGTTGTTTTGATACTTTTAATCACATAACTTTGGTTTATTTCTTTAAAAAATAATGTTTTATTCCAACAATTGAAAATTAAAACAATTATTGAATTTATGAAAATGCCATGAAATAAATACTTCTATTCTTAAAAAAATAAAACTAAAAACAAAGTGTAAAAACTGAAAAGATGTAAATGAGGGTTTTAGTTACAACTATTTCAGGTAATGCTCATGAAATTGAAATTGACCAAAAACAAACTATCAAAGAATTAAAACAGAATATTAGTGATTTGTATCACATTGAAACTCAGTTATTACATCTTATATATAAAGGAAAAAACCTAAAGAATGATAAAAGTACATTAAAAGAGAACGAAATTACAGAAGGCAGTAAAATTATTGTTGTTATATTAAAAACACCAACACACACAATTTCAAAAGAAGTATTAATTAAAAAAGAAGAAATTAATTTTAATAAAACTAAACAAGAAGTAAATGATGATATTATGGAAATTGAATTTGGAGATGAAAGTTTTGAAGAAATTGTAAATGAAATAGAAAAAGAAGAACCAGAACTAGCAGAAGAAATCCGAGATAATCCCGAATTATTAAATATTATATTTGAAGAAGAGTTAAAAGAGGCCAATGAATATTGTAAGAATTATATGGAAGAAATAAATGAAGACACAGAAGAAGAAGAAAATGAAGAAGAAATGATTAATTATAAAAAAGAATTAGAACAACTTAAAATTGAAGGAGAAGTATTTGATAAAATTAATAATAAATTAAAAAAAGGAGAAGAATTAAATGACTTAGAACACTCAATATTAGAAGAAGAAAACTCGTATGAGTTATGTATAATATTTATATTAATTAATGAAGGATTTCCTGAAAATATTATACGTGAAGCAATAAAAAATACTTCAACTCTTGATGAAGCAAGAACATACTGCAAATATTATTTAAATTAAATGTTATATTTCTTTTAGTCATAACAAAGATTTTAATATTCTTAATAAAATAATAACAAGAAGGTAATAAGAAAAGTATTTATTCACTTTAGTAATTATGAGAAAAATTGATCTACGTAAGGTTTGATAAATGGTAAATGTATTAATTGAGTAAAGATATACATTGATTGAATAATAATTACTACTGCAGTTGGTTCTTTTACACCAACTTGAATTAATGTAATAATGACAGATCCAATACAAATCCCATGGAATATAATAGCAAAAGTTACATATGGACTGATACAACAACATTTTTTATTAAACCCATACACAAAAAAATAACTATTAAAATAGTTAATATAAATCTATTAGTACAAAAATAATTTTTATAAAATAACACAAACGAAAGAAATGATGGAGGTAATGAACAAATATACAAAGAGAAAATAACCCATTTATTATTAACAATAAATAACAATATTAAAGTTGTTAATGATAATATTGCTGTAATAGTCCATAAAATTATGGTAACAATAACACGGGCATGTTTTGTAATTTTAATTACTCCTAAATTCCAATCATATTTAAATGTTTCACTTGAAGTATCGTCTTGCATAAGTAATAAAAATTCTAAAAGTAAACTTTTCAGTGCTTTTTGACTCCAAAAAAAACTATAAAATAATAATAAAATAAATTACTAATTAAACCAGAACTAACATATATAATTACCTAAATTTTTTATCCTTTTTATCTTTATTAAAATTATATTTTATTATATTCAATTTGGAAATATTACTTTTATTTTATATTCTTGTTGTTTGTATATCTTCTTCTCATGTCAATACCTTTTTTCTCTATTATTTTTATTATTAAATAATTAACTAAATACTCCCATAATTTCATTGAAATATACTTATTATTTATCATCATTTTTCTCCTTTCGTTATTTTTTATTTAATGAGAAGGGTTAATGAGAGTACTCAACTCTATACTAACATTTTATTTGAACATAAGCTCGATTCTATTAAAAAAATATAACAACTCATCTGTACTTATAAAAATTTATTTCTCCTCAAGTAATAATTCTCTTACATGTTTATCTTCTCTTTTTTATCAATGGTTAATCTTACGATAGAAAAGGATAAATTTAGTTATATTACTAGGTTTCAGTCATATTCTTTGGGTATACAGTTTTTATATTTTTATTTATGAGACATAGCATTTTTTATTCTTTTAATTCTTCTTTTTGATAATATATATACTCAATTCATTATTATCACTATTTATCAAACTTTACTTTATACTCAATTAAATAATGATTTATAAAACACAAATAAAGAAAGAACATTGTGTATGAATCAAAATAAATAAATTCTATTTTAATTATACTAAGGAAACATTTATTTTGAATTGAATTAAAATATTTTTAAATCTTGCAAAAATATCATTTGTATCTCTTTTCTTTAGTTTATAGAAAGAGTTTTATTTTTGTTTTATTTATCTTATTTAGTTTACAATAAACAATATTTTCTTTACTAAACCATCACTTTTATAATAATTAATGAAGTTCTTCTATCTCATTTTTATAAACAATAAATAACCTTCAATTTTATTTTCATAAACGGAACATTTCATGATGGTGATTGATTAATATTGTTTATTTTTGATTTATTCTGCTTTTTTCTTATGTTTGATATGTGTTATATTGAGTAATACTTCATTTTATTTTCATTATAACAACATTCAGATTGTTATGAAATGGTATTTTAGTCATTTACAAGTTAGTCTAAAGTGAGAACAAAGGGAGAGAACATCTAAAGGTCTTTGCAATAGGAGATAAAGAAGTAAAAAAGAATGACAAGAAAATGAATTGTTTCGGACTAAGTTGTTAGTCAAATAATGATAGAGCTAAATAGAAAAGAAGAAGAGACTAACAAGAAATAAAAAAGACAAAAAGTAAGAATGAAAGATGTAAAGAAGAGGAGAATTGTTTAAAAAATTGATAAGACGTCAAAGACAAAAAAGGGAAGAGGAAAGAGAGTTTAAATATAGAAATATAGTAAAAGTAATAAAACAGGAATGTTCAGTATTTAATAGAAAGATTTTATAATAAAGAATGACAGACAGAGACTAATATGAGAAGTAAGAGTATTCATAACTTTAGTGCAGGACCTGGTACTATGGCAAAAGAAGTTATTGAAGCAACAGAAAAAGCAATAAATAATTTTTGGAATGGAGTTTCAATATTAGAAATATCTCATCGAACAAAAGAATGGATTAAAGTGATGAAAGAAACAAAAAGAATGATGAAAGAAGTAATGGATATACCAGAAGGGTATGAAATAATATTTCTTGGAGGTGGAGCTTCACTTCAATTTTTAATGGTTGCAATGAACTTAATGAATAAAAAAGCATGTTATCTTGATACAGGAATATGGGCAAGTAAAGCAATAAAAGAAGCAGAAAATATAGGAGAAGTTAAAATAATAGGAACATCAAAAGATAAGAATTATACATATATTCCAGAATATCAAATACCAAGTGATTATGATTA